CTAGAAAAGTACATAAAAGGAAAGAACAGAAAGCCCAGAAATAGATCATACATGAAATGGATGCTTCTTATACAACAAAGTTGGCACCGCAGCTCACATCTTTTAAATAAATAATACTATCACTTGGATATCCATTAGAGAAAACAAAATTAAACAACCTCCAACTCACATAAACATTAATTTCAGGTGGATTATAGACCCAAATGCTGTTAAAAGATAATAAAGAAGAACAGCTCTTTGTGGATACAGCAAGCACCAACCATAAAGGAAAATACAGATAAACTGGAATATATTTAAATTAAGAGCTCACTATTTGTCAAAAAGACAGTAAACATATAAGCTGCCAAGTAGATACTATACACACCCTGACATTTTCTAAATGGCCTACATATGTTGATCATGAAAAGCAGACTAGTTTTTAGTCAATAATTTTATTGATTTTAAATTCTGCATAGAAAATGTACTCTGTTATTGTCTGAACCTGAAGCAGACCTCACCCATTACACCCAGACTTTGGTATACCACTGGAGTTTTCCAATGTTTATGTCTTCACCTGGGTCATTACATTAGTGTAGGATTCACTTATGTCTTATACATATCTTACCATTTGTCATGCTTCACTATAAAGTTTAAAAAGTCAATGAGTGATGGATTTGCAAAATGATTTAGAGAAAAAGGTTAAATATTTTTAATAAACTAGCATCTTTCACATCAGTACAATTTAAACAACCTAAGAAAAAATAAGAAATATAGTAATAGGCTTTGCACAAGATATATACAATTATTTTTTAATTTATAAAAAACTGTCCAAATTCACCAGTAGTCATTTAAATTTTTTTAAAAAATCATTTCAAACCATCATATTGGTAATGATTAAAGTAACTAACAAATACTGTGTTCTCTCTCTCTGTACTTACTTGTTTTTGTGATGCCAGAGACTGAACCCAAGAAGTTTTAAGCTATATTCTTAGTCCTTTTTATTTTTTGAGACAGATTTTTTTTGAGACAGAGTCTTGCTAAAATTCCCCAGGCTGGCTTCTAACATTCAATCTTCCTACCTCAGTCTCTCAAGTAGTTGGGATCACAGATATGACAAGTCCTCTCTTACAGGTATGGGAAAATATGAACTCACATTCACATTCACCGGTGGTAGGAATATAAAGGTTTCTGGAGAATAAGCTAGCTAATAGGTAACATTTTAAATATATAAATATCATTTAATTTAGAAATTATATTTCACCAGGGTGTGGTGTACATGACTATAATCCCATAACTTTGGGGAACTGAGACAGGAGGATTTCAAGTTTAAGCCCAGCCTGGGGAATTTAGTGAGACCCTGTCTCAAAATTAAAAATTTTAAAAGAGCCAAGGTTGTAGCTCAGTGTGAAAGCCACAGGATTAATCCCCAGTACTGCCAGAAAAAAAGAAAATCCACTTCTAGAGATTTATTTTAAGATTATTTGACAAATGGGAAATCAACAATAAAAATAACCGAATATTAGTTAATGTAGTATTGATAAAATAAACGTTGTCATAACATGCTGTTAATACAAAATGCTGTATATACTGATACAGCAGATTGGTATAATATGTTTTAAAAATCATTCTACAATAGATGGTATATTCTGTCAGTGAACAAAAATCTTTCACAAAACTAAGTTATAGGCAAACTATTCCACATTTCTTTTTTTTCCCACCTCGCTCCCTCCACATTTCATTTGTTTAAGAAATTCACTAGTAGCCAGCTACCTATTTAAAAGGAAAACTCCAAAAGTTGGCATTAAGGGCCAGGGATTTAGCTCAGCGGTTCAGTGGCCTGCCTTGCAAGCACAAGGACCGGAGTTCAATCTCCGCTATCATTAACCTACATGATGACACTGTTCTATGTTCAATAGTAACTGCTCTTACAAGACATCAGAATAACCTTGTCATTGTAATAAAAGCCACAATGCTTCATCTTTTCCTTCTTAACTATATTTGAGTTCTTCTACTCACACCAACAGTTGGCATTTCAGGTATCTCAGACTGTCTTGCCCTAGACTGGCTCTGGAAAACTGATGCAGACAGCAGGATGTTATTAAGATCATGCAAAATGAAACTGCAATCTTTGCCAATTAGCTGCTTGTATAAACACTCCCTTTTCCCCAACACAAAATCTACCAATTTCCAAGCACATACTGACCTGGGTACACTTTTTTATGCATGGAACACTGACATCTATTCAAGACCATTTGTCTAAGAAATTTAGTTGCAGAATTGTATAATCCTATGTATACAAACCTGAATTCAAATAAACAAACATATACTTGTAAATATTTAAACAGAAAGGTGTTTTATTTATCTCTGGAAAATGGCATTTAAGGTTATTCTGCTTTCACCTTTCCTCAAGTGCCCAAATTTCGTACACTAAGCTTGTGGGAGAGGAGGGGCATCTTGTAGAAAACATTCTCTTTCTCCATCCCACTCCTCAAACCAGGTCAGGGATTTAGTTCAGTGGTTTCGCCACCTGCCGGTTCCAAGTTTGATCCCCGGTAACAACAACAACAACAAAAACCAAACCATATGGTACCTCTACCATCCACCAACAAGGCTACTGCAGTCCCCTGTCTCCCAACCCTCTCCCAACCCCTGGGTTCAACACCTCAGCTGGTTCTCAGGCCACAAGTTCTCTCTTTTCTAACACTAGGCCAGCCAACCTCCAGATCAACCCATATCGGTTATGCTGCAACTCAGCTGCAGGCTCCTTTCAATTCCCAGGGTTCCTCTGCTCCTAATTTACCCCAGTACTCCAGTTCTCTGCAGTAGGCCTATGTCTTTCTGTTCTTATCATTCATTCCCTTTTTAAATCCTTACTCCCCAACCAAGGTAAATTTACTATTCTCTAGCAAAGCAACCAGGGTTCTCAAATTTTAGCACATCCCAATCACCTGGAAGGCTTGTTAAAACTCAGATCTCTGGGATTTCCCAGAATTTCTGGATTAGTAGGTCTGAAGTAGGACCCCAAACTTTACACTTCTAACAAGTTTCCAGGGGACACTGATGCTGCTCCTCTGGGGATCACATTCTGAAAACCACTTAGTAAACTTCCCTGCTTCATGACTCCATCAAGCAGTTCCCTTCACCTGACATACACCACAACCATAAGCAAAATGCTTCCAACATTAATCCCATACACTGTCCTTGTCCCATGGAGCTTTAAAAAGGGATACCATCCCCTCTCTGCCACCCAAGTTACATGTGATATGGTGTGATAAAGCAGTCCAAGGCACTTTACTTGCAATTCTAGTGACAATTATACTTTGTCTTATATCATTATGTGTGCTATATCCCCATTAGACAAGGTTTTGAGGTCAGGAGACACAATGCTACTGGTGTTTAGGCATGGAAGTGGTTTGGAAGGAACTCTCTAAATACTAATAACTAAGCTCCAGACTTGCATATTTATTATCCTAAACTAGGTTGAATTAAACTTTCCGAAGGACCAGGAGTTTCCTCAGTGATAGAGTACTTACCTAGCATGTTCAAGGTCCTGGGTTCAATCTCCAGCACAACTCTTGCTAGTGATATCAATGACAGACAAAGTACACTAGTAGCCATAGCAAAGAACAACAGGAATGCAGCACACAACACAATTTACAAAGACAGGTGCCTTGAAAGTCAATCAAGACTGCCTGATGAAGGGAGTGAACACAATACAATATTTTCTATACTGTTTTAAGGTAATAATATTATTTTGTATTATTGTACGATTTTCAGATTTGTTAGTGATCCTAAAGGTCTGTGACATTATAATGATTAATGACTTAAACAGGCTTGAGGGAAATAAATGCTCAGATAGTAAAAAATGCATGACAAAGTTTAACACTGTGCAGCGTCAAAAAGAAAGCAACAGAAAGTGGTTCAACTACTTCACAAAACTGATTGGCATTATGTACTTATGCTAGCAACTTCCCTCTTACCCAATATACCTAAGAGAAATGGAAGCATCCGCTCACCAAAAAACTTGTACACATTCATATTTTTATTATTTTTGTACAAAAACAAGAAACTATAAGAGAATGGATAAATTATGTTTTACCACACAATAAAATGGAAACAAGAAAAAGATTTAGGAAATCTTTAGTCCACCTTCCACTGCAAACTACACTCACTAAATGAGAAATAAATCCTTGGGAGTTAATGGTTCATGTAAGTATTTCCATCTATCATGCCCAACTTTATCTTCCCTGAGAAATTACACGTAGTTCTGACTATCCAATTTGGAAATTTTAATTGTGGTGCATCCTTTTAAACCATACTCTCCTAACAAAATCCCACTTGATAAGTGATGCAAACTTAGGTAAAAGTTCTTAAATTTTCAATGCAAGAAAATCTGGTTAAAAGGCCAGCTATCTCTTGTTATGAAAATGTGGAGCTTTCTCCTTTATATCCAAACTCTTTATCACTACGGTGTTTTTGAGTGGGTATCTACTATCTACTCTTCCATGCCCTAGTAAAACTGAACATAAGTTCCCTGGCCCCCTTGAAAAATAAATACATGTAGTAATAATGCCAGGAAGTAACTAAAGCTTTTCAAACCTTCAGGCACAACTATGAAAACATATCCTAGACTACTGCTACCAGAACACTCTAAAATCATGGCAATGTTTGATTTCTGCATTATCCAATAGAGACATGGATCCATGAATTGCGGCTAGTGAAACTGAGGAACTGAATCTTTTAATTTTAAGTAATTTGAGCTTAAACATAATATCTAATTTATTTATATTTAAGTAACCACATATAGCTAGTGGCTACCATATGACAGTGTAATTCTGTACATCTGTCACAATACTTACCATGGATAAGTATACTTCCCTAGTTATAAGATTCTATAGGCACTCTTACTCTACTTGTTGGAAGCACTCTTAATAGCTCTTTTTAAAAACTCCATTAAACACAGATGCAAGAGTTCAGACTTATAGATTTCAGAAATGCTAAAACATGGAAGGAAAATGCACCTTAGAACAGAGGAAATCCAGTAGTTGTATTTTCTAGGCTCCTTCTCGTCAAAGATGAGCAGCTTGTGGAAAAGGACTCGTGACTACAGTATGTCCATTCCTGTAACAGTACAGAGAAGACAGTCATGAACCATCTGCTCAATAAAGTATCAAAGTAAGTTTCTCTCTCTCCTCCACTAGAATTCTAGGAACAAGGGATTGAATCTGAATTATTTGTATACCCAGCACCTCAGAGGGCTTAGAATACAATAAGCACTAAATATTTGGCATGGCAATGATGAGAATAGAAAGAATGGTGTAACTAAAAAAAAATCTTCTTTTCCTTATTTTTTTTAGTAGTACTGGCAATAGAATCCAGAACCTTCACACTGATCTATATCCTCAGCTCTTTTTCTATTTTGAGACAGAGTCTCACTAAGTTGCCTAGGCAAGGCTTGAACTTTGTGAGCCTACCTTCTCAGCCTTCCAAATTCCTAGAATTACAGGCATGTGTCACCACACCCAGTTTAAAAAAAAAACTGAATACAGAAGCAACATAACTTGCTGGCCAAATGTGGAATTCAAGGGAGAATTCTAGTAATGTGAACAGAAAAAAGGACCGCCTGGAAGAGGGGACAAATTTGGGGAACAATACTAAATTTAAGAGAATGGTATGTAATACCTACCTACTGCTTTAGAAAATGATATACTACATATTTAAGAACTACAAAGATGCAACTTGCCCTCAATAAATTACAGTCCAGTACACGATATGTTATGCATATAATGAATGCTATAAGAAGGATAATGAAGTATTGTGGATATATAGAGTGAGAAAGAATATTCCCAGAAGCACAAGATTGGAGTTAGAACAATAAAGCAGTCCACCCCAGACAGAGGAGGAAGATGTCCAAACGCAGTTTGTTAAATAAAGAAAATAAAGATATTGCTAGAGAAGGAGGCTAAATACCAAGTGGGAAGACAAGAAACGTGTGACAAAAAGGAAAGAAATTTGAGGGAGATCTAGACTATCAAATGCCACAAAACAGTAAATATCTGTTGAAAAAAACCTAGTTATTGCTATCATTCCCAGTCCAGTTCAGGTCCATCCACTGTCAAACCCTTTTGGGTTTCCCCTAGGCTCTAATTATCCTCCTCTCTTCAAACAGTCCGACTGTAGTAATAATATACACATCCACAGACAAGAACAGACTCAGGACTTTGCAGACACAGCACAGTACCTTAGATATATGGAATATATTCAATTGAGCATAAATATACTAAAATATTTCCTGGACTGAACTTAGAGATAATGACAGCTTATTTTTCTAGGTCCAATCAAAGAAAACTACATCTCAGCCAAGATTGGATTGTGACATCTATTCAAGTGGCCAGAACTATTTTATTCAATTTGTTGGGCTAGGCCAACTGTGGATCAGACATTGTGTACAAAAGCTCCTCCGAGGAAGCACTCAGAGAAAAAGGAAACAGGTTAATTAACTCCACATGAAAAGTGGTAAAATAAAGGAATATGCAAAGTGCTTCAAATGCCAAGAAGAGGTAGGGATGGTGAGAAGGGGAGACCTCTACTTGGAGAAAAACTACACAGAGCTCTTAGTTGAACACAGATTTTCTTCAGGCATTCTGAATAACAGTTATCTTCCTTTATATTGTAAAAATGCATGTTATTCATGGAAAATGGACATGTTGAAATGTACAAAATGAATTATAAAAGCCCATTTCCACTGTGCACTCAACCCCTACTGGTCTGCAGTAGGTCTCCTAATAGACCTGACAGAACTGTCATCAACTCCCCCATCACCTCTGCAAAGAGACTGGCTAATGCCAACAGAAGCAATATTTCTGGCTAACAGGTAACTATCCAGGTCAACTTCACATGTCTGCTCCCTTAAATTGAGCTGTATGCTTAGCATCCAAAAGTCAGTTGTTTTTCTTCTCTAAAACTGTCTGTCAACTCCTCTTGTAATAAACAGTACATGATTTTCAATTAAATAGTATGCAAACCAGTTAAAAGAGAGTTGCCCTTTCAGTAAAAATTACGTTGGATGCTTTGGCAAGATACAACAAAGGTGATGAGTCACTTTTAAAATGTGGCTGTCAAATTAGGTATGAGTTAGATAATGTTAAAAGACAAGAGAACTGTAAAAATCTATGATCCCGTGTTAGATGGTTTCATGAGTTATTTAAATTATTGTTTCATGTTCATGAAATCCAAACTGGACTTACTGCACAGAGAGGATCAATTATGGGTATATTTCATACAATGATGACACAAAGCTTCAGTCAGCTGAAAAAGGCCTTGGACCCGCATCAACTGCAGGTGAAGAAATGTCTGCTTTATAACTAAACAGCTATATGTACATTCTTATTTAATTACATAGAACTTTACGGATTTTTTTACAATAATATTCCGATTATCAGCTCCACTCCATGAAGTAAAGGAGCGCCCATGAGAAACATCCTATGTAGTTAACACATATTCCTTCAAGTCTCTGCAAAGGCCACCTTCTAAGAAAAGCTTCACAGTGCTAACTGCCTCTTCAAAATACCCTCAATACCCTCCACTGGTGCTAGGCTGATACTGGATTTAATCTCCAACCATTTTTAAGAAATCAAATTTATTCTGCATAATTGAAATTATATTTCTATACTTTTCATCTTGATTCCCAAAAATTAAAACAAAGTGGGGACTGGTGATGTAGCCCAGCAGTAGAGTACCTGACTAACATGTGCATTGATCCTCAGCACAAAACAAACAAAATACTCAATAAGTCACTGCAAAGGTAAATATTACCATGACAACATGTATATTAAATGGTAGGTTTTCCTAAAGGATCTGTGAAAAAACTCAGCAAGGGAAGGGAAGACCTTGATGGAGGAGAAATAAGTCAAAATATGTGAAAACCAACTAAAGGAAAGAAATATATATAGATCCAGCTATCACGGATAAGTGCTAGACTGGTTCTAAAAATGAAAGTGACACTTTAAACTTGTTCTTAGCATTAATAATGTAACAACTAATCACCCACTGTCACATTTTATTATATAAAGGAATCATTCATGAAACCCAGAAGTACATATCCATCTTTTCCTTAAAGTACCTTAAAATCCAGTTGTGAAAAGTAGAATACATGAAAACTTTATGCAGAGATTAGGACAATGTGGTTGTTCAATACATGTTTGTTGGTTTTATTTAGCATTAAACATCTCAAGATCCTACATAACAAGCAAGATGAAACAATTCAGACTCACACTTATGAGTCTGAATGAGCTATGCAAAAAAAATTACTATCAATGTTCAAAGAAAACAGTGCTCATTTCAGACTGGGGATGTCATGTTTGACACAGGGGATAGGATTTGAACTAGGTCAGGGAAAATGGGGATGTAGCACATACTAATAAAAACATAGCTATCAGAACAATATATAATTTTAAAAGTGCTTTCTTATCTATCATTTCATGAGCTGGACAGCACAATAATCCCGTGAATGCACAGCTTAGAGAATCATACACTTGAGATGAAAGACAGAAAAAAACCTAAGTACAATAAAATTCTACAGGTTTTCTTTTTAATGTAAAACTGAGAAACTTGGATTTTAGGCTGTAAAATTTGGGAAATTATTTCAAGTTTTGTTACAAATTTGTTTCAGTGACATAATAAAGCCCACTTGTACTAGAATATAGTCAACTATAACTTCCATGAAAATGGAACATTCATCATTCATTCATTCATTTATTCCACAAATATTTACTTTTTCATAAATCAGTACTCTATGCTAGTCTTATACCAGATGCAAGAAATACTATAATGAATAAAAGAGATCAGACCCTAACCTCAGGAACTTAAAATCATGAAAGATACAAAACAAAACAAAAAATTCAGTGGAGCGAAATATTTAAAATTTTCAAATCTGGTGGCATACCATATTTCCAAATGCAATAAAATGATAACAGCTAAAACATATAGCATTCTGTGCCAAGCACTGTTCTTCCTTATTTGTGAATTTATTTAATGCATTATCACATTTAATCTTAACACAGATGTAAAGATAGCAGTCCAAGAGTCATTAAATACCTTGGCCCTGGTCACAGAGCTAGCAAGTGTCAACGCCTGGATCAAACCAAGGACTTTTTTTCAAACTGTCTGAGACATATTTTTAACAATTATGCTATTTTATGAGTCAACAGTTGTTTGTAAGCTCCACTGAATGTATTCTGAGTAAAATAATGAACTCAGAAAACCAAAAGGGTGAAAAACAGATCTACCTATTGATAAAATTTGTAAAAAGCAGGGGCCAGGGGTGTTACTCAGTGGTAAAGTAGTTCACTAGCATGGGTGAGCCCCTGGGCTCAATCTCCAGCATCACCACCAAAAAATAAAAATAAAAAAAGAGTTAATGTAGTAAGCTTAAAACTAAAAGCAGTGTTCAACGGGTAGAGTGAAGATGTAGGTGTTAATACTACTTGCTCTGTAATAAGTTCATGGGTGCCCCACCTCCAAATCTGTAATGAGGCTGACCATTTTTACTAAGAACCCTTATTTGACTATCCAGGACAACCAACTACAAAAAGCTAAATACAGAGCAAACTCTGATACAGTAATCACTTATCCTATTGAAAGCTTACGTATTCACTGACTCATTCATCTAAAAAAATTTCCCCTCAAGTCCCTGAGCCTAATTATAAATGCTAATTTTCCTACTTTACTAGAGATTATAATGAAAAAAATCTTTAAGAGCATAGTGAGCCTTAAAGTGCAACAACTGGGTCATTTAGCCTGGCCCCAAATTTGGGAAGCTCCTTTAACCTGTAATAGAAAGCACAAAAGCAGTCTTGCAAAGAATAAGCACCAAGGCAAAAAGTTAAACAGGCAAATACAATCAGTATTACAAATAGCTCTTTCATCAAAGCCTTTTTTCATTATGATAAAACACTGTGGGTATCTCTGTTCCAACTTCCAATGTCCTCCCTACCAGCCACTGAATTTCAATGCTTATTTTAATCAGATAAAATATAAAGGCTTACCACTATAGTAGAAGTAGAGATATGATTTAGGAATTGGCTTAACATACTGTTTAATATAAGATATTCACTCATTCG